TGATGAAAGAGGAATGTAAACTTGTCAAGATATTGATTACATACACCTGTAAAATATAGTTTACATTGTGAAATATATCATTTCAAGCATCTGACGACTATAGATGTACAGTATATTTCTAACTTTGTTATTGGATGTTCATAACCACCAAGGCTGAATTGGAAAATTTTAATGTAGCAACGTTTTATGTGGACGTATATCGTAGTCACCTGTAGCTGTCTTGTATCAACAATTTCTTGTGAACAATCTGCTTAAATATTTGTCAAATCGCAGTGATTGTTCACTGGGTCATAAGGAAGAACCCTAAGGAATTCTTAATACACAGTTATTAAAGTTTGTTAATGCAATACAGGAAAGAGTTTTTGATGGAGTATTTTAAAAATTGGTGAGATTTTTTATGATATTTTAAATGTAAAGCTGGGAGATATTGCCCCATTTACATTTTGACTTAAACTTAAAGTTGTTTCAATGGCATTTAGTAATTGAACTAGAGTATACAGGTCACAATTCTATGGAATACAATTACTGCTTTTTACTGAGCGACGTTTCGACTAGGCTTCTCTAGTCATTATCAAGCTATGATAAAAAATGAAAATATGACAGGACAATATATAATGACTAGAGAAGCCTAGTCGAAACGTCGCTCAGTAAAAGGCAGTAATTGTATTCCATAGAATTGTGACCTGTATATTAAACTTAAAGTCTGTGAACTGGATACAGAACAGTGTTCTCTTTGGAATCTTACAGAACCTATTTGTATTTTTTAAAAACTTGTTAGCACTTTCCTGCAGATGTAGTCAGCATTGTTAGAAAATGTATAAAGTATTTCCCCAAAATTGTAAGAAATACTAGCATAAGTATGCCAAGTATCAAAAACCAAATTTGGAACACTTGATTGCTGGGAACCAGACTGAATCTGTTTTCATGTATTGGTGCAAGAAATTCCAGTCAGACAAAGTAATGTGGTAGTGTCTACTATAGGTGTAAGAACATAATTAAGATACCATGATAATGAATTAATTTTGAGTTGGTATGTTATGGACTGCATTTAATCAAAGTTATACGTTGCTATCTACATATAGTGATAAACAGTTTTAAAAGGTAGGCAAAATAAACATTATATATTTATAAGCTGAGGTGCAAAAAAAAAATTCAAGATGGGGGATCAAGCTGATAAATCTAATGCCAGATCTCCTGTAATCTAGAAAAACCTGTTAAGTCTAATTTTGGTGAAAATTGACTTATTATATAATATAGGTCTTCCTCCTTCACTATGAAAAGGCTTCTATGTATCTTCATCTAAAAAGTCAAAATAAAATTTGTTTTATATTCAGTAGCTTAATTAATCCTGAAACAAACAGTTTCCATTGTTTTCTCAAATTTGCATTCAACAAACTTACTAGGTTTTTCTAGATTACAGTAAGAGAGGTGTAGCAATTCAAAAGATTATTTTTTCAAGTATTTTGGTTTTTTGGTGTTGTAATCTATTGAATTATTTACATTATATTATAATGAGTTGACAAGTTGGTGAATTTGTTTGATCTAGAAATCCTTCATATTAGACTTTGCTATGATAATGAAATGTGACGAGCATGTTTTGTAGATTAAGAGTTAAGGTATAAATAATGGTTATTATGCACAGCAGTGGATCCAGCCTGTTAGCATGACCACCAGAGCACTACTTGTAAAATATTCATTATTATATGCCCACATTTTCATATGGACGTTTTATGCCGTCGCCCCAGTCCGTCCGGACACAATTTCCTTGTGGACACTCTACAGGTCACAGTTTTTATCCGATTTGGATGAAACTTGAAATATATATTTAGGTCTATCTCCCAAAGATCTCGGTTCCTGTTGTATTGGCATGTATCGGACCATAACTTCATGGATTATGGCCACTAATTATACAAAAAAATCATGTTTTTTAGCTGGTGGATCCGCTAGAAGTCACAATTTGTATTCAATTTTATAAAACGTTTAAATATATCGCCATTACACATCAATGAAGGATGAGTTTTGTAAAAATGTGATTGAAACTGCCGGACAAAATCACTGCTCCTTGTACGCAAATAGTGTAAAAGTATGTAATACCAAGGTTTGTGGACAATCTAGAAGTCACAAATGTTATCCGATCTTGATAAACTTAAAATCTATGTTTACAATCCAAAGATCTTGGTTCCTTTCGATATTTGTGCATATCAACATATATCAATTTCAAAACAATCAGATGATAAATGTAGCCTATAGAGTGTTCACAAGAAATTGTGGACGACGGACCGATATATGGGCGTATAAAAACAGATTCTTTCAATTCATTATATCTTTGATGAAAGAAACCTTCAAGCAATTTATAAACATACATGTAGCTGTCTGGATTATAATTCAGTAAGATAGGAAATGCTTGGTTGAATTTAATTGCCACACTTGCGACACTAATCCTGTCATTTAAAGTAATATTTTACCACGTTGGGTATCTATGTATCAAAGATATGTTATCTGTTTTCGTAACTTTTATACATAGAAACGCATTAAGTCAAGTTGTCTATAGAATTCCTTGTTTACTAATATATTAATGTTGTAAGTGGAAGGAACTAGGATTAAGTTTAACCAGGTCTATGGTTTAATAGCATGGACTTGTTATAAACAAGACCTTGAAATTATTTTTAAAGTGGGCCCAATAAAATATTTATGAAGATTATAATGATAAATGTATATCCCACTTTTGAAATTCAAAATCTTTTAGTTATGAAACTCTGTACAGGACAGAGTTTTTGGTGAACTGGTAAATGATGTATAAGGAATAGCTAAGTTTTTGGATCTTAAATTTCTAATATGTTATCTTTCCATTTACATTTTGAAGCTTGTGGAAACGAAACATTGAAAACTATTCATTAAAATATTTAAAATTTGACCTTATGGAGCTACTGTATCTAAACTTATCCCCTGTCCCAGCATAGGGTCCTTAACAGAATTTTTAAGAACCGTGGGAGATTGTTCCTTGGGTTATATAGAAAGTATCTTTACGTTCACATTTTGCTTGGAACAGAATTCATGGTGGATTTTTTTCAAAAATTGCTTTGTAGGATTTTTTGACAAAAATATTACAACAATCACAGACTTTCCTGCTGTTGGATATATAAGACAGCCTGACAAGCCCACATCTATGTTTTATTGTCCCCCGCCTTTCGAAGAAAGCAGGGGACTATTAAAATGGGTTCGTCTGTCTGTCTGTCCATCACACTTTTTGGGACACAATAACTCTGTTTCTAATTGATCTAGAATGTTCAAACTTGGTGTAGGTGTTTATTAGGTCAATGCCTTGATGGAGTTCGAAGATGAGCATTTTCTGCTTAGGGTAAGCAGAGATAAGCAATTTGATTGGTTGATGCTTTGGGACACGATAACTTTAGTTCTAATTAAGTGAGAGTGATGAAACTTGGTGTATAGTTTCATTACATCAATACCTTCACTAAGTTCGATAATGAGAATCTTCAGCTCAGGGTAAGCAGAGCGATAAGCAATTTGATTGGTCGAGACTTTGGAACAACTCTCCTTCTAATTGAGCTAAAATGTTAAAACTTGGTGTAGGTGTTTATTAGATCAAAGCCTTGATGGAGTTCGGAGATCAGCATTTTCTGCTTAGGGTAAGCAGAGATAAGCAATTTGATTGGTTGATACTTTGGGACACGATAACTTTAGTTCTAATTAAGTGAGAGTGATGAAACTTGGTGTATAGTTTCATTACATCAATACCTTGACTAAGTCCGATAATGAGCATTTTCTGCTCAGGGTAAGCAGAGCGATAAACAATTTGATTGGCTGAGACTTTGGAACACAACTCTCCTAATTGAGCTAAAATGTTCAAACTTGGTGTAGGTGTTTATTAGGTCAATGCCTTGATAGAGTGCGAAGATAAGCATTTTCTGCTTATGGTAAGTAGAGATAAGCAATTTGATTGGTTGATGCTTTGGGACACGATAACTTTAGTTCTAATTAAGTGAGAGTGATGAAACTTGGTGTATAGTTTCATTACATCAATACCTTGACTAAGTTCGATGATGAGAATTGTCTGCTTAGGCTAAGGAGCAATAAGCATTTTGATTGGTCAAGACATTGGAACATAACTTCTAATTGAGGTAGAATGTTTAAACTTGATGTAGATGTTCATTAGGTGAATGTCTTTTCTGAGTTCAATGATTAACATTTCGATCTAAAGCTAAGCAGAGATAAGCAATTTCCTTGGTCGATGCTTTGGGACAAGATAACTTTGATTCTATCTGATAGAGAGTGATGAAACTTAGTGTATAGTTGATAATCAGTTTGATTGCTTGATACTTTTGAAAAAAAATAGATGTACGATTAATTTATATGTGTCATCTATTTATTTGGGGATTTCGGCGGGGGACATCAGCCTCACTGTTGGCTTGTTTACTGTGTGGTCTTCCCATCTATCTTGTCCAAGTGAATCCACTTCCCAGACAGTGGTCTTTCCATCTGGTCTTCATTGAGAGAGAGAGAGAGAGAGAGAGAGAAAAATGGGGTTTAACCTCCACTCAACACAAACTAGGTCATTTCGGGACTAACATATGATTTAATTTTATTTTAATAATTCGCTTGCGTGTAGGGGTCTTTAGCAGTGGGAGGAAACCAGAGGACCCGGAGAAAACCCACGAGGTTGGACATGCGACCCTACGCCTTGCCATGTACAACCGGGGATTCGAAACCACGCCAGTCGACTCAATGACAGACTTTATGATACAGTGCGTGCACACTAACCATTCAGCCATCCACACACACCCCCCCCCCCCCGGTCTTCATTGAATACCAACCTATCTTATCTAAGTGAATCTACAAAATCTAAAGTTTCTGTTTTTCTGTCAATTCTATTTTTTTGTCTAAAGAAATAATATTAGTCTGGTCATGCATTAAGTCAGCTGGATGTATATTGGTGTCACCCGTTCCATCAGTATTAATATGTATTTTATTATAATTTACAGATTGTAATAAAGAATGTGGAAGAAAGTCATAGCAGTTATACTTGGTCTGATATTAGGTTATTGGTTTCTAGATGATTTTGACCCAGGTATTAAAGCAAGTATTATTTTTTGCGACAATCTAATAATTATAAGGTTTTAAGAAATGCAATATCAATGCTTCATTTAAAAGCTAGATCAACACTCTTACCACATGTTATAAACTTAAACTTTCTGAAACTTGGACCGTATTCAAAGGATATCTGCAGTTTAAGATAGTCACTTAACTACTAAATGTCACTTAAATATACATAACTTCCTCTAAGTGGTGTTCAATGGCAGTTTTAAGTATCAAATTTTTTCCTTAAAGTTAAGCTGCCTTTACTTATAAGTGTTTAGTCTTTTAGTGGTATTCAAAGGCCGGTTTAAGTGAGAGGTATCTTAAAGTTAAGTGAGATTATAATGACTTCTTTTAACCGAAGTAGCAGGCCCATACTGGCGATTTTAAAAGTTAGGCAATTGAGATTGAAACAAAGACAATGTCGCTGAGCGTAGCCGACATCAAACAATTTTTTTTTTTCATCATCAGCTTTGATTTTGTAGAGCCACAATTATAGTGTATACGTTTACTACCACCGAAATGGTCAAGGTTGTTTTCTCGATCATCTATCATGTTTGTATTGCTTAATCAATCATGTTTGCCACGACTGTCATATAATAAAGTTTCATGCGTTAAATATATTTGTAAATTTGACATTGCAATGACATATTCCATTGTAGATTTCAGAAATTATTAATACGGCCACGAGAAGCAATTAAGGCATGGTTTAATTTTTACAATTCATTCCCATATACATATTTGAAGTTTTGATTGCTACATGTTCTCGTCTTCGTTTGTATAAATTTACAAATATATGATGATGACTGCTGACCAAAGCGTGCCACCAATGATTTACAATGTACCATCATGGCTAGACCTTTGGGATTCTAAAGGTTAAGAACTGACACAATTTCTATGAATTTCTCAAATGATAGGTTGATAAACAACACCGAATGATTTGTTCAGTTTAACTTTAAAGCCAATAGCCTTGCGTATTGCTAATAAAAAGTTTACTACCACTATTCGATAACTGCTATTGAAATCTATTGTTGTTGAAAAACATCTATACGAAAACAGCTGTTCCAGTAACGGATGCGTACCATCATAATTTATCGTAAATTATAGTCATACTATTTTCATGCATTACAATATAATATTTCGACTTACATTTTCCTAGTAATGACAACTAAGATTTTAATAGAGTATAGTTGTGCTCTTAAGGGGACATAACTTGCGTGCGACGTGTTTAATTCGTGATTTTTGGCAGTGGAGGTTATTTCAAAAGCTAAAAATTCATGCTTTTTGGCTATGTTGGTATTCCATATTTTAAGTATGCAGTTAAGTTTTTCACATAGCCAAGTATATGTAAAATAGAGCCTTTGAATACCGATTTAAGGTAAGACAATTGGTTATGTGGAAAAATTAAGTATTTTTACTTAACTTTAAGAAAACCTTTGAATACGGACCCAGATGTAAATGTAACGGAATTAGTAACATGCACACATTGTTTTGGCAGAGATTTTGCCTTTGTGGTTAACATATGTATCTTGTTTTAAGTTTAATCTCATAGATATGGCACATTTTTATTTCAATCGATTCATTCTATAGATAACCTAAAGGGAAAACGTGTCTTAATAACCGGAGCATCAGCTGGTATTGGTGAACAAATAGCCTACCATTACGCTGCCTTTGGTGCTAAATTAATGATAACTTCTAGAAGAGAAAATGTGCTACAAGAGGTATGGTCATATGTTATTATCCAATTAAAAGAGTAAAATGTCATAGGAGTAGCTAATGTGTCAGACAAGCATCAATCTTGTAGTATAAGGATTAGCGTGTAATGAAGGTTTAGGTGTTGTAGTGGGAGGACAGAAAACATTCACTTCATCTGTCATTCACTGGTGCTTTATCTATATATATAATCAGTGTCCATTCAAGTGGGAGTAGAAACAAGAAATTGTTGCTTAGATACATTCCAGACACCTTTTTGAACTTAATAAAAAAAAGTACTTGAAGATGCTAGTGCAATAATGTGGACAAGTGCGTTGTTTTTAAATAATATCATTTGATTTTTTCAAATAAATCCATTTTTAGTAGATTTTCTTAACAGCTTGTTCATTTTATCAATTTTAGTTTTCGGGTCTAAAAATATGCAAAAATACTATTTTGGCAGTTTCTGTGAAATGGCACTATCCATCTTATTGCACTAGCATCCTCAATTTTTGACACAGAATTTTAAGGAAATACACAATTTAATGGTAGGTTTTTCCACTTGTTCGTGCTATTGATAGACAGAATTACATCATAAATAATCTTGGTTATTCAATAAGCACAGTGAGGGCTTGACCCCCTTGAAGTTCTAATGCACCCCCCCCCCCCCAACAAGTCATGCAATGCTACCACTTAGCAGACACAAATCCTATACATACATAAATACAGGCCTTATGATCTACAGTGTATCTGTTAGACCATTTGGCCACCCAACATCCCCGCAAAGCTAGGAGATACCTCTAACATGGTATATATTCGATAACATTCATAAGATGAGCATATATTTAATGGTATATTTAAAGTGATTGTTTTGTAGGTTATATCAAACTGTAGAGAGCGGGGTGCCAAAGATGGAGAATATTATTATGTTACAGCAGATATGGCCAACATGTCATCTACAGAACAAGTTATAAAAGTAAGACTTGTAATAATCTTTATCTGGACAACTTTAAAAAAATGAAGTCTTGATTCACAGTGCATCAAACAAATACCGCAAGAGAGCATGCTCGTCACACATTTTGTTAAACTTCATTTCATTTCATTTCGTCACACATTTTCTATTATATTCATTTCTATTCTTGTAAATCCTGTCTGTAAATTTGATAGAACAGAAATTATATATTCTATGGCATATAGAGAATAGATGTTTATACTTCTATTTTGCAGGAAGCAGTTAAGAAGTTAGGAGGACTAGATATTTTAGTATTAAATCATATCGTAATTATGCCACTCGGGGAATGGAGAGGAACTCCACAAAATCTGACAACCCTAGAACAAGTAACTGATATAAATTATAAAGCATATATATATCTAACATCTCATGCATTATCAGAATTAGAGAAAAATAAAGGCAGCATTATTGTGGTTAATTCTTTGGCAGGTGAGAAGAACATTTTGTATGATTTTCTGAAGAAAATATGAACAAAGCTACCAGTCTTTTCATGGCAACTAAGCCTGTAATTAAAATAAACCAAGAATGACTCAAAGAAACTGAAACTAATCTCGTTGCCCAGCTTAATGATATTTAAGTGGCAGTATGCATCATAATTATTCTCGCAACACAGAAATAAATTATTACTCCCATAAACATAATTATGAATCATTACTTCCCTTAAACATAATTATGAATTATTATTTGTCTTAAACATAATTATGAATTATTATTTCTTTTAAACATAATTATGAATTATTATTTCTCGTAAATATAATTATGAATTATTATTTCTCTTAAACATATTAATGAATTATGACTCCTCTTAAAAAATAATCATGAATCATTACTTTTCTTAAACATAATGTGTAGTGGAAGTTTTATCACATAGACAATAACTTCAGAAAGGGATAAAATAACAAAAAAATTAAAAGAAAATAAATCAAAATTCTGAAGACGAATCTTGTTTTTTTGGGGTTTTTTTTTGTGATGTACATATAGTTATAGTTTGAACATTTACATGTACCATGGTTGTTTTTCTTTTTTAGGAAAAGTAGCTATACCATTTGTAGCCGCCTATTCGGCATCAAAGTTTGCACTTGATGGATTTTTTAGTGCTTTACGCCAAGAATTCAAGATGAGAAACTGTGATATTTCTATAACCTCTTGTATTATGGGTTTTATAGGTGAGTACTGTAACATCTTTGAATTTTTAAAGGAGCACAGGTCCCTGTGCATGTAAAAGAACCCTTAACAGTTGGAATTCTTTTTGTCCCCCGCTATATGGAGAAAGCAGTTGACTATTAAAAAAGGTGTCAGTCTTTCTGTCCATGCATCACACCTTTTGGAACTCAGTAATTTCTGATTGAGGTACAATGTTTAAACTTCGTTAATTGGATAATGAGCATTTTTTGCCTAAGATTATAAGCTGGTATTATAAGCAATTTGAACATGATGACTTGATTCTAATTGAGTGAGAGAGTAAAGCTTGGTGTATAGTTACATTACATGAATATCTTGACTAAGTTTGATTATTAAAGATATATTATGGGAGATTAGATAAAGAGCTGGCAGTTCTCACTATAATAGTTAAAAACTAGATAATGTAAAGGGAATTTGCTGAAAATTTCAGTCAAATTGATCCACTTTGAACCAAGATTTTAGCGATTTAATTTTCGGCCTAGCCTTGATCATCATTACTAAAGTCAGTACGATAAAAAACATAGTCTCGATTATCCAGTTCATGATTAAATTATGAATGGAAGTCGAACGGCAAATCGGAACCTAATCCAATAAACATCGCAGGCTAGCGTTGACATCGAGAGTTGATTATGGTCTGGATAAGTTAATTAATGTCTAATTAATAATTTAGATAACATTTCAGGCCTAAAGAAAGACCTGCAATAGGCAGATTTAGCTTTTGCATAATGTATTTTTTAACTATTTCTGCTTAATTTGTTGATGCCTTGAAACATGATAACCCTGATTCTAATTGTGTAAGATCAATGAAATTTGGTGTATTGTTTGTTTGTTTTTTTTGCATTAATATCGATGACGAAGTTCATATTGACTGATAAGTCATATAAAATGTATATGTGCAAGTAATTAATTTTGAGATTGAGGCGGGGTACATCAGAATCAGTGCTGGTTTGATTAGAATAAACTGGCAATTATTAATGTAGTAAGATCTCCATCCTACAAAATAAACTAAAAACATTGATTTTTCACCCAAATCATTACAGGTACTGAGAATGCTGTATCCCAGTTAACACAGTTTGGTCAAGATTACTTATTGAGTGTGATGAATCAAGCTCGACCCTCTGATGCAGCCTTAGCAATAATAAAAGGGGGTGCTACAAGATCTAGAGAAATTTTCTTTCCATATATGTCTGTTCGACCATCATATTTATTGAGAGACTGGCTTCCAGAGTCTATAGAATACATGATACGATATATTAATACTCCATCGCATTATATATAGATGATCTTCCTTAAATCCAACTCAAGTCTATTTAATTAGTTTGCGAGTGTCCGAGAATGTTAATGTTAGTGAGTGACCTTGTTTTACCTTAGTAATGTCAATTTGTTATAGTATAGAATATTGAGATATGTATATTTGGTTTAATTAATTTATGGACATGTTAAATAATAATGCAGTATGTGGATGAGTGTGTGTGGTTATTAGAATACTTCTACTGTATTTTAACAATGATCTTTTATTAGATGTATTAGGAAATGTAAGGGAGGAAAATGGCACAGTGGTTAGCAAGCGAAATCTGTAACCTTCTTTTTGCATTCTCAATCATCACTTTAGCTTTTGTTTCCATGAATAAAATTTACACATTCGGGTCTAATCAGCTGTATTTGGTATAGTGCAATGTAAATTAAATGTAGATAAAGGACCTCTAAGGGGAGGTAAGAACATCAGAGTATGTTCTTTTGAGACCGACAGGGGTAAGCCATTGAGCTGCTCCCAGAGCTGGAAGAAAGAATTTAAATTTACATGTCATGTTACTTGTTGATCTGATGTTGTTACATTCAGAATTGCAATAAGATTCAAGTGTATCTCTCAATCGAGATTTACAATCATCCATTTATAAAAGTGGTTCGTTTACCTTGAGTCTCAGTACAAATCTCTATGAATATTTGATAGCGAAGAGAATGTGATTGCAGCAAAATAATGTTTATTGTTAAATTATATAGCTACAAGTAGATTTTTTAAATTGTTTATATAGATATGGATCAGAAAAATATAAAAATATTTAATATGTATGATTGTCTTATTTAATTAATTAGTATTATATTTTAATATTTAACGGCAACATAGTATTTATTGCTAGATTAAGTAATAATTCGAGATTAATAATGTAATAATTTTAATTAATAATAATAATTAGTAATAATACACAACAAACAAAATTTTGAAATATTTTATTATCCTTGATTATTAATAATAACAGTAAAGTCTGTATGGTCTAATCCGTCTTCATTGGCTCAGTTGGAGCAGAATAGTAGGACGTTAAACCCCATTTCATTTCATTTCATACTGTCAGAACATTTCGGCCAGCTCTTTTAGTTCATGTGGTTTGTCACACACCCTCTCCCTCTACTAGCTTTTTGGGGCCATTTGGTTTATGTCTCACACCCTCTCCTCTCTGTCGTCCATTCCTTAACTTGGATTGCAACCAAATTTGTCAGGTATGTGGCTTGGGTTGTGCTTATTTCATTTTGCTTAAATGAAGTTAATCAATCCAATAGGACACCTTATATATAATAGTCAAACTTTAGACATTTTCACAGCCTTTTTCAAATTCAATAAGTTCCCTAGATTTTATAAATATTTTCTAACCTGTTTGGTTCAAGTCCTGCAGACTGCAGTGACTTACCAGAAATCATGCCAACTGAATTGAGCTGGGGATATTTAAAGCTGCAACTACACATTGTGTAATTTATACCTTTATCATAGTATTGACAAATTATTTATAGATTTAAAAGTGATATTTTAATTACCTCATAGTTTATTTAATTTAATCAAAATAGTATGTTTCTTTCTATAGTCTATGTATATGAATTAGGATGTTGGTGCAAATAAATTATGATTATATTATGTTTGGGTGAATCAGGGAATATGACTCTGGGTCAATAGTAAATCATTCATGTTTATGATTTTTCTTGTTAATATATGTTGTTATGCTCAGATATGACCAATACTATTAATTAATTGTTCCATCCTACTAATATGATCAAATCCATTATATAGATTTCTATTTTTTGTACAAATGTTTTTTGTCTCCTAAAGCCTTATAGTCGCAATCATCATGATTTATATTACCTTGAAAAATATGATTACCATATAGGTGTATCAAATGAGTGTCTATTGTTTGATATGAGCATTGGTGGAACTAGTAATCTATAACATACTTACTGTAGGTAGAATTCCTAGTAACTGCCTAATCTGTGGAGACATGAAACATTTTCAAAGAAACCTAATTTATTTGACATTTAACAGAATTGCAGGGTTAACTTTGCATTGGCAGCACAATACAGACTTTATAGATGTCTTGTTATATTAGAAAATGGCACCTTGTCAGCTTTACTCTATGTAATAGTGTTCTTAAGAGTTTAGTTGAATATTTTTTTTATTTCATACTAATATGGATAATTCTTATTTAGTGAAATTTATATGATATATTTGTTAATAAAGAGACAATATAAACTTAAGTTGAGAGTTTTATTTATTGATTTTAAATCAGGGTTCAAAGAATAATGCAATTAAGTTATGTACCTTATATTGTATTATGTTCACATTTGAAAATATTAATGATATATAAATAACATCCCAAAAATAAATGCATATTTAAAAATGTAAATTTGAATAAGATATTTCTAGCCTCTGATCTGATAATAGGTATTGGGAAATCTTGCAAACTACAATATTATGATCATTGAATCTCTAAAAGAAATATCAGCCCCAAAATTCCGTTCAGTAATTTACAAAGATGATGAATTGAAAATCTGTCAACATCCTTTGCATACAATATAAAGGGGATATGGCAAAACAAGTTGGCGCCACCTCTAATCTTCGCTAAAATCTTTTGAGGGGCCTCTGATCGAATCCAAAGCCGGTAGATTATCAACCTTTGAAATTTTGATTTTGTTTTCTTAAATAAAGGTTAAAACAATCAATTTGAGTTATTTTAGCATGGATCAAGCCGAGAATAATTTAAGATTTTTCCAAAAATTCTAATGACGCACAGAGACTTGAAGCAATTTGTTGGAATCTTTAACTGTATATTGCACAAAATCCAGTATATTTCATTTATCATAATTGCTGTTCCGGAAATCAGTAGTCAATTAGTTTATTGAAACAATTTTCTATTTGCATCTAAAATCTATTAAATAACAATACTAGTTATTTCTTAGTGTTAGAGTTCTTTTTGTTTTTGTTATTTTAAAAATAAATAAAACTAATCTGCATGTTCTCTATATTAACTTTTCATATCTACCTCTAATGGTTGATCTTGTTCTTTCATTAAACAAAGTTTTATTAAAATGGTTTTGTTTTTATTTCAAAAAAATATAACCCAGAAATTCAACATACCGGTAACTTTCAGGAAACTTGCATTTATCAATATTTATCGCTGTGTAAAACAAGCGATTGCCATGCAAGATATGCCCACATTTTGCAAAAGATGGACAGAGAACAAGTTAAGGGCCATAATCCAGGATGTTACAGTCCGACGTGCATCAATATCAAATGGAATCGAGATCTGTGGGACATTAACATATTATTTTAAGTTTCATCAAATCAGAGAAAAATAGAGGGTTCAGAACCTTGGAATAAACATGTGCATACTTTTACACTATTTATAATAGTGAGTAACCATTTTGTCAGGCAGTTTTGGTCCGATTTTCATGAAATTCAAACTCAACAGTCATTACAGTGTAACGGTGGTGTATTTGAACGGTTTTTAAAGGCTCAATACCACTCTTGTTGTAACTGAATAATATGTCCCAATCTTTATTCTGGTCAACAATTGTACCATTTTACAATATTCCAATTAATTGATGATACAAATTTCATCTTAACACACCTAATTTAAACAAGAGCATCGCTAACGCTGCAATATACGTCCACATTCCAGCATTGATTGATATGGTACTTTTTAAAATGAAGAGAATGAAATATGAAATGGCTGTAATATGATAAAAGGCAAAGAGGGCTAGGCGTTGGGCTTGTTTTGCCAAATTTACAGACAAAATACTAACAAAAAAGTGGGTGTGACACTGCCCCAGGAGGTCGGGGCAAGCACCAAAATAAATAGTTGCTGTCTTTACGGTATAAGGAATAAATATGCAAAGTTCCAAGATGATCCATTCAGAATTGCAACCTGTAGAGGATAAATACAAAAAATGGGTGTGGCTCTGCCCCTGGGGGGTGGATATGGAACAATATAAATAGGTGTCATCCTTAGCGTATAAGGAATAAGTATTCGAAGTTCCAAGATAATCCATTTAGAATTGTGGCCTTCGGGCGCTAAAGGCCAAAATTGGGTGTGGCTCTGTCCCTGGGGGTCGGGGCATTCACCAAAATCAATAGTTGATGCCCTTAGGCTATAAGGAATACATATGCCAAGTACAAAGTTGATCCATTCAGAACTCCGGCCTGTAAACGACAAACACAAAAATTGGGCGTGGCTCTGCCCCGGGGGGGGGGGGGGACATGCAATTGGGGTCCTTAGGCTATAAGGAATACATATCCCAAGCTCAAAGACAATCCATTAGGAATCGTGGTCTGCAGGCAACTCACAGAGACACAAAGGACAAATGGGTGTTGCTCTGCCCCTGGGGGTCGGGGCATTCACCAAAATCAATAGTTGATGCCCTTAGGCTATAAGGAATACATATGCCAAGTACAAAGTTGATCCATTCAGAACTCCGACCTGTAAATGACAAACACAAAAATTGGGCGTGGCTCTGCCCCTGGGGGGTGGGACATGCAATTGGGGTCCTTAGGCTACAAGGAATACATATCCCAAGCTCAAAGGCAATCCATTAGGAATCGTGGTCTGTAGGCAACTCACAGAGACACAAAGGACAAATGGGTGTGGCTGTGCCCCTGGGGGATGGGCAATCACCAAAAATCAATAGGGGGCATCCTTAAGGTATATTGAATAGGTATGCAAAGTTTCAAAATGATCTGTTAAGAATTGCGGCCTGTAGACGACAAACAAATACTAGAAATTGGTGTGGCTATGTCCCTGGGGATCTGGCATGCCACAAAAACCATAAGGATCATCCATAGGGTATAAGGAATAAGTGTGTAAAGTTTCAAGATGATCACTTAAGAATTGCGCCCTGTAGGCGACACAAAGACACACGAAAAGAAAATGGGAAATGGGCGTGGCTCTGCCCCTGGGGGTTGGGCATGTACCCCAAACGATAGGGATGTTCCTTAGGGTACAAAGAATGTGTATGCAAGATTATAAGTTAAGAAATGTGGCCTGTAGACGACAAACAAACAAATACTAGAAATGGGCGTGGCTCTGCCCCTGGGGGTCGGGCATGCACCAAAAACAATAGGGATCTTCCTTGGGGTATAAGGAATAAGTATACCAAGTTTGAAGAAAATCCAGTAAGAATTGCGCCCTGTAGGCGACACAAAGACACACGAAAAGAAAATGGGCGTGGCTCTGCCCCTGGGGGTTGGGCATGCACCCCAAACGATAGGGATGTTCCTTAGGGTACAAAGAATGTGTATGCAAAGTTTCAAGATTATTAGTTAAGAAATGTGGCCTGTAGACGACAAACAAACAAATACTAGAAATGGGCGTGGCTCTGCCCCGGGGGGTCGGGCATGCACCAAAAACAATAGGGATCTTCCTTGGGGTATAAGGAATAAGTATACCAAGTTTGAAGAAAATCCATGAAGAATTGCGCCCTGTAGGCGAACCACAGACACACACACACACACACATACATACATACACACACACACACACACACACACACAGACAGGGGCGACGGCATAATACGTTCACATTATGAATGTGGACGTATAAAAATTGGAAAAATTCAACTAAATGATTTGAAAAGCCTGACGTAAAGCTTTTCAAATGTGACTTGGATTTAAAAATATTTTTGAACCCTTTGGACAAGTAAAATAGGATTTAATGGATAATTTACACAACACGTAGGACACTAACACATCTAGTACTTAGAATAAGGCTATTTTTTATTTTCTTGAGTTGTCAAGCCAGCAAGAGTGTTATTGTCCCTTTAAAATTGAGGCCATAATCCAGGAAGTTACGGTCCAATATGCATGAATATCGAAAGGAACCCAGATCTTTGGGATATACACATAAAATTGTGACCCATAGAGTGTCCACAAACTAAAAACAGGATTTTTCATACAATCAGGAGCCATAATCCATGAAGTAACGGTCCGATACATGCCAATATCGAAATGAGGTCTTTGGGATATAAACCTATATTTCAAGTTTAGTCAAAATCGGATAAAAATTGTGACCGGTAGAGTGTCAACAAACAAACTGTGAACAAATGGACGGACATACTGCATACAGCGATCCATCTACTTCATACCTCGAGAATACATCACTGCCCTAATTGCCGTACATTTAAAAGGCTCAGGTGATCATTTTAGGGTGGGACTTATCGACCTGCACGTGGTTTATGTTTACAAACAAATATGTCAAGTTAGCAAAATTCGACTTCTGCTACTCCGGCAAAAAGCGATATATGGGTAATATTGCAATACAGTCTTTATCATTGTCAACTGCCTTTAGAGTTTCAATCTGTTTATCTTTCAAAACAAGATTAGATACTCTTAAGTTTGTCTTCGCAAACAAAGCCGCTTCTGTAAACGTATCTTTCATGGTCGCCGCCATATTGAATAATTAGTGGACTATTTCGTGCTTCCACTCTGATCCGTTTGACATCTTTCATACACACAACGGCTAAAGAAACATATTAAATTTCATTCAATATGAAAATAGAAGAGAAATAAATACTTCTAAAAATTTCTAGATATAATTACGGTAGATACAATTGCGCTGCTTTTCATGTAGACTATTGACATACTGTATTTTTCGGTGTATTAGGCACATGCATAGATAAGGCGCAAGGCGAGTTTGGCAGAGGTGTTTCAGAAAAAATAAAAGTGCATGGTTTAGCCGCACCCTTCTCCAGCACCTTGCGGAATACACCTGTGATCTCCAGTAACTGGGCCAAACTCTACTATTTACAGTTATAATAATTACCGATATTTAGCCGTATCAAGCTTTATATACATTTTTTGAATTGCATAAGACTTTATATTAATTATAACTTTCAATTGCATTGTTTCATAACATAAATAGTAATTCTGGCGCTCGTACCGTACGGTAGTCAAATTGTCGTTAAAGTCCCGCCCACAATATGAACTCCATGAAGTTGCTCTTGAATCAAATTATTGAATAAGAACCAAACTGAATGTATACAAATATGTTTTAATAGGAAATACATTTATACATTTTTTCTTAATAAATATATGGTTAAATTTCTGTAATATAAATTGTAGGAATAATAAATCAATATATTATTAAAATATCTTAGTAGAAATTTAAAAATAAATATTGACACAACCATGGTTTATTTATTTATAGTGAACCCATAAAATAGCTCTAGATATATTTGGGGAAATCTAATTTTTTTTAGATGTTGAGCAGAATTAGAAAATCACTAAAATTTTCCTAACAATTAGCCTCAGGGAATTATTTGGAAATGTCCATGACGAAAATATTTGTTAAAGATTCATAATAATATAAACCTATTGTAACTTTAAATTATCAAATACCCTTCATTATATTCTATTAAATATTTCAATGTAGTCTTGTCATACATACTTGCCACATAATGGAATGTGTTGAACTTAGCATACAGGAATGTAATATGAATAGTTTTAAATGTTTGCAGATTTCTTTTAATAATCTGGAGATGGAGTTAGAATGGTGTCAACGAGTTTTTTGTATGGAATCTGACCACTTGTTGGCATACCAGCTTCTTGAAACAGTGCATCAACTGAAAAAAAAACCCTCAGAATTGACATACAACCACATTTTTAAAATTTGAAATATCGGTATCTATGGTTTAGAAGTTCACATGACAATGGGTATACCTGATTTAATGATTGGTGTACACAGGTTACATGAAATGTTAATCAACTAACTAGAGTATTGCCTGGAAGACTGCCATGCTTACTTTGTTGCAAGAGGTGGTGTGAAAAGAGCAGAACTTATTTTCAAGATGGTGAACAATGGAAACATTTCAAAAGTGTTGATTTTTTTTATCATATTTTCCAAAGGATTAAAGTTGGTTATTGCTAAAATTCATGGATAATTTGTTCTTGCTGTTACAAATGTATCCTAATCATTCGTATATGATGATAATCTTATCCATAGTTGTCGTCAACATTATTTTCCCCATCTTCAATAGAAGGCTTGATATCACTTTAACTGTGTACATCTTATCAAGTCCTTCACGTAATACCCTGCA